AAGTTTTCCCAAAACATCTGCTGCTGCTGTTCACCAGCAGGCCACTCCAGGTAGGTCTTTGTGTTCATGATCTTGCGCAGCTTGCAGAACCTCTTGGGAATCGCTTTGCTCTGGATGGGCTCCAGGAGGACAAGGATTGCTGCATCATTGTTCTCATCAAAGAGGCGGAAATGCGAGAAGTCCAGCTCGTATTTACACCACTCGCTCTGCACAAAGTGCTCAGACAGCACAAAGAGTGTTTTGTGGCTCTTCTCAATGCAGTCAATGATGTTGTCCACAATCCACTTGCCAGGCACAAAGTCCCGCTTATGGAGGCAGAGCCGGAAGGAAGGGCAGGCCTGCTCCAGCTCGCGCACCATAATGTTTTCCACCCAGTCAGAGTCATTCTCACTGTAGGAGACAAAAGCGTCGTAGCAGATGTCCTTTGGGGGGGCTTGCTTGGGCTTCCGCTTGGCTTGGAGCCATGCCCAGGTCATCCTCAGGTACCAGACTGCATGGTACTTGTAGCCAAGGCCTACAAGGATGAGGATGACCAGGAACACTAGGGTGCAGATCAAGGACACCACAAGGGACCTGTGGCACTCCATCAGGGAGAGGTGCACAGCTCCAACTTGCACCCCTCTCACCGACAGGGGAGAGTCACAGATGTATTTGTCTGGCCACCCCACCAGCACCTGGCCTATCCCAGCCTGGTGGTGGATGAAGGACAGGAATTCACAGGAGCAGATGAAGTAGTTCTCACTGGCATCCAGCAGCTCCATTCTCTGGAAGGACTCAAACTCTTGCTTGGAGAAACTGTTGAGCTTGTTTCTTCTGACTGACATGGCCACTAGGTTTGGAATGGGTGCGGCATCAGGCAGAGTCTTCAGCTGGTTTTTTGTGAGGTACAGCTCTTTCAGAAATGGCAGATGCAGGCCAAACTCCTGCAGCTTGTTAGCACTAACGTCCAAAACTTCCAGCGTTGGGGGAATGCAGGTCGTCACTTTAGGAATCTGAGTGCTGGAGAGGTTTAAGTATTTCAGGTTTTTTGGCCATTCACACCTATCTGGGATCTCACCAAAATTATTCTGGCTAATGTC